CAAATCCGGCTAGACCAGAACATGTACATGGGTACAGATAAGAGCTGGAAACACAGGGAATCCAGGACAGATGAACTTCTCAGGACCAATCATGAGAGTGGCGATACCAGGAGGGGAAGGGGAAGATTTGGGGAGAGAGGGGGAACCGATCATAATGTTGTTTGGTTTTAAGAAGACTTCAAGGGATGTAAGTGGTTTAAGGATTAAAGATTATCTGAAGGCAATGGTTTCAGTGGTTTTTTTATCCAACAGCCTGGAAGCCATGAGAGTTTGAAATTCTAGGTTGTGTTTTCCCCCTTTCGATCAGGATTTGTCTATGGAATCTTTGATCGAAATGTGCAGTAATGGTAGCTGGGCACCACCTTGTTTTTCTGGTCTCATGGAAGCACTCAGCCACACAATACATGTCTTCCTCCTGTTCATGACTCTCCTGGCTTGGCTCCTGAGGGTAAAAGTCCAATTGTGCTTTGGCTGGCCGCTTTTAAGCTTCCAGGTACTGCACAGTGAACTAGGAGACAGAGCAGAAGCACTACACGTGTTAATAGGACACTTCATTGGGCTGTCCCACAGAACCATAACTTTGAAATCCCAAACCAAGAAGCCAGATCCCAGGAGGTTTTTGGCTGCACAACTACCATGTCCTTGTAAGTGCTTCTGCGGCTGTACCACTGAATGGTGGCCACGACGGCGTTCCGGCGTTCCTGGTCTCGGTCTGGGTTCACCAGAGAAACAAAATCAACAAAATGTACATATAGAGGGGGCTTCAAAAAGTGTATGGAAAAATGGAATCAGAAGACAATGGCATTTTTTCTCGGACTTTTAGAAGGACCCTTGTATTTTGGATGCAGGCCACAGCTCTGAGGAAACTCTCCTTACAGATGATTGGCTGATCCCACTAGATCATGTGTGTGCTTTCATCATATACATACTGGCCAAACCTCTGAGAATTCTGGCCCAGTCAGCTTGGCACTCAACCGTAAAACCGCCACCCCTCCTGGGGTTGTCATAGTAGTGACCCCAGAGAACTAGGGCAAGATTACTGACCTGTATATTACTCTTTATTGTTTAGTTTGTATTAAGAAGCATGTGCAACTCTTATTAACAAAAATCTAATCAAGGACAGAGTGAAATAAATAATAAGATGTTAATACCTGAAGGGTCCTGAGCTTTCCTCTGTCTCCCTGGGGCTTGGGAGCAGGGCCTGAAGGGGCGTGTGGGGGCTGCCCCGTGGGATTCAGAACTGCCTGTCTTTGTCTGAGTCGTCTTGACTTTTGAGGGCATGGGAGGGGTGTGGGCTTAGAGACTTCACCACCCAACATTGTTTTTCATAGGTGATACTCTTGGCACCCAAGTTTAAACCTTTTCACCCTTTGAGATTTCATTTTGTGATCGTACAAGTCAGTGTTTAGCAAAATAAAATGCTGGCTTTGGATTCAGGCTGTGTGGGTTCAGATCCTACCTCCACTACTAGCATGATGGCAGCTGGTCTTCTCGGAGCCTCAGTTTTCTCCTCAGCCTGGCTGTGGTGGCTGCAGAGGGACCCTGAGTATCAGAAGGCTCGCCAGCTGCCTGATGGTGAGGCAAGGGCAAGGGGACTGCTCTCTCCTGGTGCCCCTGCCCTGGACTCTGACCCTCCATGGCTCCCTGAGGTCCCCACTCATCTCCGTCTCACCCTGCAGGTCCCTTCACTGACGTCGTCACCACCAACCTTAAGCTGGGCAACCCGACAGACCGGAACGTGTGCTTCAAGGTGAAGACCACGGCACCGCGCAGGTATTGCGTGAGGCCCAACAGCGGGGTCATTGATGCGGGGGCGTCCATTAACGTGTCCGGTGAGTCCTGAGCCAGAAGCCGAGGGGCGGGCTTGAAAGGGGTTCCTATAGTTTGCATTTGCAGGGCAGCCACGTCAGAAGGTAGACATGGGCCGGCCCCAGTCCTCCACCCCTATGCCGATGCTTGTGGTCCCCACCCTGCTGTGGGGCCCTGGCTGGATGCAATAGCCCCAGAGCACAAAGAAAGTGGCCGCTCCAGACTTGACTTCAGAAAGAGTTTAGTTTTCACTCCCTTGAAATCAAATCTGCCCTTTGGCAATAAATAAAAAAGGGCTAAACAAACTTAATTTTACTTTGTGGGAGAAAGCTAAATGGAGTTATATTCTTATTTCAGCCAAATGATTTCTGACATTAAGCTCCTGTCACTTCCAATGCCTGATGACTGCCCTGTGCTGATTGGGAGAAGCTGGGGGAGCCTCGGGCTGGGGAAATTGGGCTAGATTCCAGGGTCTAAATTTTGTGAGTCTCCGATGGGTGGTTTTTTCCTTGTTTTTTTTCCCCCCCTTGTCTGAGAGTGCATATGTTTTCTAAAGTTCAACTTTTGGAAAGATGCTAGTTGAGGGCCCAGATTGAGAATTGGATCTCAGAATTTAGGGGCTGGAAGTGCTGGGCTAGGGTGCAAATGTGCTATAGAAATGTCCTGAGCTGGGAGCTCATTAAGACTTCTGGAAGCAAGGGGTGGGGGGGCTTCTGTGTGTCAGACAGCGCTCTGGTGGTCTTTATCTGCCTTGGCCAGGTCATTCAGGGCCATGAGATGCTGTGCGTCATTAGAAGTGGCCTCTGATCGGGATCAAGTGCCTGTCTGTTTTTTTCCGTGATAGATTTTGATTGTGATACATTTGGCTATTCATTTGACACCTGAAAAGAAAATGATTCACCTCTTTGGAGAGATAGAAGGTGTTTCATTATCTGGTCCCTTCTGCCCGCTCTCTTTGTGGATGGTGCCCACACCAGCTCTCGCTCTCCGGGAGTCCGACATGACTCCCCCTTTCAGGAAGGCAGCTGGTGGCTGGGGTGGGGTCAGCAAGCTGAGGCATGCCTACTTGGGCTCGAAGTCCCTAGAGCCACAGTACATGGTGCTCTGGAGCCAGAAAGGCCACAGAGATGGGGCCTTCCGCGTGACCCGCATGCTCCCATGTGAGGTCTGCTAAGTCGGAAACCTCTGTGCCCTCTTCCATCCACGTCCCCTCATGCCTTCCTCCTTTACCAGGCTGAGCAGGGCTGTCCACACCTGCGCATCCCAGTGCACTCCCCAACAGCGCAGTTATAGAGCAGGCCTCAGGCTCTTGGGCGTGGACATGCCCCCTCTTTGCCTCTTCCAGAAAGAAGTAGCCAGACTGGGGGTGTGGCATGGGGTGACTGCATGGAGGAGCCCAAAGTTTTATGGTTGTGGGAAGCACCCGAATGGTGGGCTTAGAAATCAGTGCACTTGACTCCTGATCCAGTGCCACCAAACCGCGTGGACACTCTTAGGAGACGGTCTCAGTTATAGGAGAGGGTGAAACAGAGTTCATCTCTCAGAAAATGCCATGTGTTTGGGGACTAATGATGTGTCCGTGTGTCTGCCACTCCCAGCGTTCGGGCCAGGGCTCCTCAGCAACCCTGTGCAGGTCCCTCCTTCCTGGCTCCACGTGTCTCCTTGCTGAAGTGGACAGGAGAATGCCATGCTGCAGGGCCCCGGGGCCTGGCTTGTTTCACGGCTGCCCCAGAAACCAGCTAGTTTGTATTGAAGGTGGTTATCAGATACTGTCCAGTGTTTGAAATACTTTTATAGAAATATAATCACTCCTTACATTCTGTGACTTTATAAAACTTTCCTAATTTTAAGTAAGTCAAACCAAACTCACTGCCATTGAGTCGATAGGACAGAGTAGAACTACCCTTGTGGGTTTCTGAGGCTGTAACTAACTCCATGGAAACAGACAGCCTCGTTTTCCTCCCAAGAGCAGCTGGTGGTTGAACCGCAGGCCTGGTGTCTAACCCCGTGCGCCACCAGGATTCCTAAGGTGAACTAGGTTTTTCTTCTTCCCGTGTCTCTGTTTCTTTCCATGTTTTGTTTTTTAATAAAGTGTATGTATTTTATTGAAAGGCCTTTAGTAAACTTTCAACTATGTAAAAAGATGACTGCTGAATCAGCCTACAGCACTGCTGGTCTCTAGTCCTGCCTGCCACGCTCAGCGATGTGACAGCCCCCCAACAGGGCTCGCTAGCCTGCTGGTGCCCGCTAGTAAGAAACCTGCAGTCGACTGCCTGTGGGGCCTCAGCTACCGTTCTCTTGAAAAATGAGTTGGCGCGCAAGGTGACGGTGGGGCTGCCTGCCCGGGACTGGCCTGTTGGAGCCTGCTGGCTTTGCCTTGCTGTGGGCATGCCCCAGCACCTTCCTTCCACGCCCACACGGGGCGTTCTCCCCTCGCATGTCAGCGTCTTATCTGGGCCAATGTGAGGCCCAGGTCCTTATTCCTTAAAACAAACATTTTTCTCATCGAGGTGGTGAAGTTATGGCTGGACATGAGCCTCACTGCGGTTTTATGCCCAAAGATGAGCATGCCTGGTCATTCCCAAAGGGTTGCTCTGGTCTGTCACTGGGGCTGGGGTCTGGGTCCCTGACTCTACCCCTTTAAAAGGTCTCACCCCACCAGTAGCCCATCCTGTGTGCTATTAGGTGAGGTGAAGCAGGGGGGGTGGGGGTGAGGGGGTGGATTCAGGAACTTGGCGTTTATGTTCATTGGCCCAGAATGGCATGGTTTGGGCCTCGTGACCTTTGATACACACGTTTATCTGAGAAAGCTGTGAATGATGTACATGGAGGTTGGAGGAGACAGGGTTGCACTTTGTCCCCTAAGAACGTAAATGCAAGGGGAAAGGGCTATGTGAACTAAAGCATTGTTTGTAGCAGTGAGGGGAGGGGAGGGGGTGCGGTTCTCCATGTGTTCTGACTCTACAAAATGAAATCTTATTTTCTCAGCTGTATGTTGGGGAAGTATCTTTGAGGTAGATGCTTTGTGAAAATGCCTTTATGGGAAGCTTTGAGTGGGTGTGGATATATACTTTTTTAATACCGCAGTTTAATAAAGAGGGAGTTTCCCATTAATATTCCAAACCGTGTTTGCCAGCGGATATAGCAGGTGAAGTGGTAAAATTATGGGCCCATCAAAAATACTTGCGCTTCCTGTAATATGATATTAAGTTTAATATTTTTATAACCGCTGAATTCTAATTTCACTAAAGTAGCAAGTAAGCTTCCATTTGCAGTTTAATTATGCACATTGGTTGCGTGTGTACCAAGCAAATTAGAAATGCGAAATGTGTCTGTGTATGTGTACTTGAGCGTTGTACATGTATGTTGTGTGTGTGTGTGTACACGCCAGCAAGAGTCCTTAAAGACCCCACCCCAGAATTTGGGTGCAGGCTCGGTGTGAGTCAGCAGCCCTGGAGTTGGGAGTGGGTTAAACTGAGGCCAGTGTCCTGGGTCGAGCCTGTGTCTGACCCGGGCGTGGAGAGAGTTTGGGAAAGGAGCAGCTGGGCACCGCTTTTCAGCACTTCCGTCGTCACGGAGAGTGGAATGCGCTCCCAGTAAAACCCCATGGACCGAGGACACCTCACAGCAGCTCTTCTTGCCTAGAACACTGGCCAGTTAAACTAATTAGGGAGAATTGCAATTGATAACTAATCCTGGGCAACATGGCTGGCTCAGGCCCGTGGGTCAGGCCCAACTTTGGGGAGGGGGTGGGGGGTTGTGTCGGGGGTGGTGAGTTGGAGCTGACGCTGGGCACTGCCTCAGCTGCACCGCCCCTCTTGGTCGGGCCTCTGATAAGCCAGCCGCCTTATAAATGGTTTTCGCACACCAGGTTTATTACTCTCAGATAAGAGCATGCTTAAAAGATGTCTTTAATCTTGTTCATCAGATAAGATTCTGGTTGACAAACAAAAAGAAAAAAGGCTGTTGCCAACCAAAGTGCAGCTTAATTGTCTTTTCAAGAACACAAAATAACAAGCAGCCTCTGTAGGTGTCTGAAGACAAACCCTGTGTTTTGCTTTGTAAGCAGTGGCATACTGTACCCCTCGTTTTCGAATCTCATGACCTAGAGGACACCTCACTTAGCGGGCTGTCCCCGGAGAAGCAAGTGGAGCAAAGGCGAGGAAGACTCTCAGGGAGGGGGATTGATGCGGTGGCTGCAGCCCCAGGCTCAGACAGAACAGGCTGGCACAGGACAGGGCGGGGGTCTCCTGTTGTACATGGGTGCTCTGAGCTGGGACCATGACCCAAGGTGGAAGGTGCGTGCCACCGCTCTTTAACGCAGCTGAGCAGACAGGAGAGTGAGGTTCTGCAGCAGCCACCAGGGTACAGGTGCCCCTCTGTACCCTTCCCAGGTGCTGATTCGCTCACCTCCTTCCTGTCCGACGCCCTCCTGTTACTTATCCTGGCCCAGGGGATGAGACTGGGAGGTGGCTGTCTAGCACACAGCAGGGTGACACCACAGAATGACTGTGAGAGTGCCGGGAACTGGCAGCGGGCTGTCAAGTCGCAACAGTGTCGGGCCAGGGGCCCTTGTATCTGATCCGATCCATATCGAGAGACATGACTTATGTGCCTCTGCGTGACGGGCGCTCCTGATCGCATCTTGGGAGGGAGTCTTCAGGACAAATGATGCTGTGTCGTTATCAAGTGTTTGCCAAGACAAGACAGCATGGTGTGCGGGGGGTCTGAAAACATGTGATTTATAAATCCGAGCGTGAGCCCTGGGCTTTGGCAGGACAGAGAGGAGCCCTCCCACAGGGCCACTGGCCCTCATCTCTGCGCAATGCCAGCTCCCGACAAAGCAGAGAAGCCCGAGGGGAAGTCCGGTCAGCCCGCCCGCCCTCCCTCGCTTACCTCCAGGCCTGTCGGCCATGGCCCCAGAGGACCAGGGAAGTAGTAGCGTGTCTGCATTTGGAGAAGGCCACCTCTCTCTCGAGCAGGGTGGTGCAGCCCCTGGGCCCCAAAGCCAAGCTTCTCCCTT